CTCTACCACTTGAGCCACAGCACCACTTCTGGCTTTTTCTGTGTATGTGGTACTGAGGAATCAAATCTAGGGTTTCATGCATGCTAAGCAAGCACTCTACCACTAAGCCACATTCCCCACCCCACCTTCTGTTATTAAACATTCTCCTCTAACACTGTACAGTGGTCTAATAGGCCACATGCCAGTTGCTTTGCTGACTGCTCAGATCCATGCCATCTCTACCCTGTATCACCTTCACCAACTTGCTTCTTGCTGTGTTCAGCCACTAAGAAACAAAGGTAAGAGGAAGATGATATACATCAGCACCCACCACACAGCTCTGGTTCCTACCTCCACCCCCAGCTCTCACACACTGACCTAACACAGCGGAATAGAAAACAGCAGCAAGCAGCTAGTGTGTGTGTGTGTGTGTGTGTGTGTGTGTGTGGTGTCCTGTAAGCTAGTGTGTGTATGTGTGTGTGTGTGTGTGTGGTGTCCTGAAGCTAGTCTGTGTGTGTGTGTGTGTGTGTGTGGTGTCCTGCAGCTAGTGTGTGTGTGTGGTGTCCTGCAGTGTGTGTGTGTGTGTGTGTGTGTGTGGTGTCCTGCAGCTAGTGTGTGTGTGTGTGTGTGGTGTCCTGCAGCTAGTGTGTGTGTGTGTGGTGTCCTGCAGCTAGTGTGTGTGTGTGTGTGTGTGGTGTCCTGCAGCTAGTGTGTGTGTTTGTGTGTGGTGTCCTGCAGCTAGTGTGTGTGTGTGTGTGTGGTGTCCTGCAGCTAGTGTGTGTGTGTGTGGTGTCCTGCAGCTAGTGTGTGTGTGTGTGTGTGTGGTGTCCTGCAGCTAGTGTGTGTGTTTGTGTGTGGTGTCCTGCAGTAGTGTGTGTGTGTGTGTGTGTGTGTGTGTGTGTCCTGGGCACTGAGCTAGCACTTTACCCCCTGAACCATAGCTCCACTTCCAGCTTTTCTGATGATTAATTGAAGGTAAGAGTCTCACAGACTCTCCCAAACAGGCTGGCTTTGAAGCACAGTCCTCAGATCTCAGCTTTCCCAGTAGCTAGGGTCATAGGCATGAACCAGTGGCGTCCAGCAGGGCAGCAGGTGCTCTTGATGATGTAGTTTGGGTCTGCTACTCTGACCTGTTTCCTTCCTTCAGTTCTCCCATCACTTATATAATCAGCTCACGGTAATAAAATGTTTGTAGTAACTAGAGGTAATTATTTCCTAGCTGGAACCTGAAATAAGATGGATAGACCCATTATATGGGCAGTTTCTCTTTTTAGTTCTCATAAGCTCTATCATAGTAGATATCCTTAGAGCTAAATATAGTTCCTCACCACAAATTTCTACACTATTTCCCCTTGTAAATGTGCTATACTGGTTGGGATTTCTACTAACGAGAATGCTCCCATTATCTCACCAATTTATCATAAATACAAGACCTAATTTTCATTTATCTCCCATCACTGCTAATCCCCACCCCCCTCTCTTTTGGCCAGTCCTGGGGCTTGAACTCAGGGTCTCAGCAGTGTCCCTGAGCCTCTCTGTGCTCAAGACTAGCACTCTACCACTTGAGCCTCGGTGCCACTTCCGGCTTTTTCTGCGTATATGGTACTAAGGAAAACCCAGGGCTTCAGGCATGCTAGGCAAGCACTCTACCACTAAGCCACATACCCAGCCCCACTGTTCATTTCTTAACCTTGCCTGTCTAACTCAGTTATTATCAAGCAACATTGTCAATGTCAATGGGAATCACTAAGGTCCTCTGGGAAATTCACTTCCCGGTTGTACATTTTATTGGGGAGGGAAAAAGGCTGGTGGGGAGAGAACAGAGGAAGGTGCTTTATGGATGGTCACAGGAGGCCTATGTGTCCTGAAAGTGAGACCAGCTGGAGGCCCTGGAGGAGGCTAACTCAAGTCCTGCTCCTTGAGCAGGAGATGCTGGCTAGCCATGGTTTCTAGTAGTGACAATGCAGGGCTTGAGGATAGCCCAGAAGTCACCATCCAGTTCCATTTGGACTGGGTTTCTGAGAAGGGAAATATCTGGGATCAAACCACGTTTTATCGACAAGACTGTAAAACACATGCAGGTTGGCCTTCATTAACACAGGGTCCATATTCACAGATTCACTCAATCAACTTCAGAAGTATTTGGGAAAATCTACTGCATCTGAGAGAGGGAAGAGACCACAGTCAAGAATCCAAAGTGTATCCTACAAAATTAAGATGAGTGAGGGCAGGGGTGGGTAGTGAAAGGAATGGGTAAGAATATTGAAAGGGGTGACATTGATCGAGATATATTCTATTCATAAACTGTTTTTTTTAATGGCAACTCCTTTGTACAACTACTTAAATAAAAAAAAATACTTAAACATGGAAAATCGCTCCAAGATATCGCATCTGTATTAAACACACACAGATGGTATTCTTGTTCTCCTAAATTATATAGAATGACTACATTGTTTTAGGCATTATAAGTCATTCCAAACAATTTAAATACTGGAGTTATGTTCATAGGCTGTATTTTATGTAAGGGGCTTAAACATTCATGGATATTGGTTCAGGCGGATAATACAAGCAATTCTACTTGCATCCCATGATGCATCTAATCAGCATCAGGGCACCCGATTCATTCATTCATTAGACTAGCCAAGGAAGGCACCCACACTTCATTCTATACTCTTACATGCACGCGTTTTGTTCAGATCACACACTGAAGACTTCGGAAAATGTTAAAATTTATTAATCATAGGTAACACCACATAGTTAATTCAACTAGTTCTCTATTGTACACAGTGACATCATCTTCACAAGACTGAAAGCTCAAGGATTTGAGATGCAGTGTCCGGCACATCCCGGTCAGACTGAGATCCACTGGATGTACACTGAGCAGAGAAGCATCAGCTAGGGGCTATCCGAGTAGTGCTAGGAACACAGTCAACATGCGTAGTCCAGATTGGACCTGATTGGAAGCCAACAGCACAATACTTCTTTGACAGCCACCCACCCAAACATCTCTACCTCTCAAAATAAGTGTAATACTTATAGATGGTACCTAATTTAAAAAAAGTAAAATTTATTTAAAAACTTAAGAATAAATTAAGTTAAAATTTATCTGTATTTCATGTGTATCCTTTAGGGAGCCATAAATGTGCACATGACTTGTGGCCTTCATTGTAGCTGGAGGCACCAATGTTTTAGGTCAATAATTACAGATGAGGGCAAAGGAACTACATCAGACAAGCAAAGCAAGCCTGGAATAAAGGAGGATGTGTTAGTTCTCTTTACTCTATGCTTCCTAGAACCCGGGTGACTTTTACCTTGTTCAAAAACCAGCCAATAACATTATTTTAACTTAGCCAAAAGTTAAAATACTGTGCAAAAACATCGGTGCAAATTAAGTGAGTTTCTATCTTCTTTCCTTTTTGATCCTTGTATCCTATTTCATAGTGTTACAAGGTTATTACTTCTCAATCAGGCTGCATCCAGGCTTCATGTCTGTGGATAGCTGAGGGCAGACGTGGGCAAATGAAGTCAGAATTAACTGTGCTCTTGGAAAGTAGAGTATGGGTGCTTTTATGCCACTCCCATCTCTGCCAACAGTGTGAAATAAATAATGTGTATAAAAAAAATAAAAACAGATCAGCAGATCGATACCAGCACAGTCCAGGGAAGCAGAGACACAACAGTTGTTGTACAACATTTACAAAACAAACCCTAGGTGAACTTTGCTAGGAGGACACAAATACCTCCCCCCAAAATGTCATCCCTGAGGTTTCATTTGGTTTGGCTGTTTAATTGCTCCATTTTGGTTTGTCGGCGATGAACACATACATTTTTAATATAAATTTTTGGTGGGCTTTTATCTCATCAGCTTTAAAAATACTACTTACTGATTGCCCTAAGAATAAAGAATAAAAGCTGCTAAGCATTGAGTATTTTTGAAATGATTCCTTTGGTTTCCTTTGGGTAACACGTGACACGTAATATACCCAGGAAAATCTCTTGACAGAGCAGCCAGTTTGCTGTGGTTTCTTCAATCCATTGCCAGCCTCTGTCTCCATCCCGACTTCCCACGCATTCCCCATACTGTAAAGGAAGGAGCAACCAGAAAGCTGACCTTTGCTAGTCACTCACCCGGAAGAAGTTTCTTTCTCTTCCTGTGGGCAAATGAGGTATTTCTAGTCAGTACCTTTGCCTCACATCTTTAACTACACTGATCTACTAATGAGGCCAAGGGTGAGGAGATCATGCTTACCTATATACACAACAAATGAACATATAAATACAATACATATGAATTAACCATTACACAACAAAGGAGTACACCTACTTCATGAGCTAAATAAATTTCAAACATAAATTAAAGTGAAAATACAGTATTTCTCCACTTTTGTAGGGGGGGAAAAATTAAACAAACAAAACTCAAAAGCTCCCCCTCTCCCAAGGGTCCAAGGCTCATGGGTAATACAGGAGGTCACGCTGTGGTATGACGAAAAACTCTCTTGTGGGATGTGGCAACTCTTGGCTTTGGTTTCACTATCCAGCTGTGGGGTGGCCGATTCCAGAAGCACAATCTGGAACCCGCCGAGCAGTACTTTTACAGGCAAGTTGTGAAGAGCTGAAGCCACTCATCCATGGCTCCCCCTCCCTTCCCCCCCATCCCTCCCTCCATCTGCCTGCAGAAGATCAGGCTTGAGTCATTAGTGGAGATCTCCCAAATCTCTGATGAGACTAGCAGCATCAGAGCTTTCCACCTAGAAATGTCCCCTTCAGCTCCAAGGTGGAGCAGCCAGGATCTTCCCCAGTCTCCACTCTGTAGGAATTCTGCCAGGGGGATGGCTAAAACCTTTCCAACTACTTTGAAGGTTTAAGAGAACCAATGGGAATGGTTGTGACCAGTGTGAACAAATCCTTTCTTCTGTGTCTCAGGAAGGCCCAAGGCGTGGGTACCGAACTACGGTGAGAATACAGAGACAAAACCCAGTGCAGTGGAGTCCTGTCTGCCAAGGAAAAGCTGGGGGACTGTCTCTGACACAAGAGGACGACACCTTTTAATTTAAAACAGGGAAGAGGGGAAGGAGAGAAGTCCCTTCCGGTTTCTATCGCTGTCCGGCTTCCCGGATGCGGCAGGCTACAGCAGTGATGAGAGCTGCTCCCTTTCCGCTGCCATCCTCAGACTCCAAGAAAGACACATCACACTTGGGAGCCAGGTCCTTGACTGTCTCGTGCATGACTTTGGCAAAGCTGGAAAAAGGGGAAGACACACACAAGAAAAAGAAAAATGCACCTTAGTCATGACTGGGTTGTGTCCTCAGAGGGGAGACCCTCAGAAACAGATGCTGGAAACTCAGGGATAAGTCAGAGGATAAACAGGTCAAATGCTACAATGTAGCAAATCTTCAAAGGTATTGTGTGTCAGGACACTGAGGCTTAGAATAATACCCCCAACTTCTAACAAGACAGTGGGCAATCCTGGTGAGCTATGCTCTTAAAGGAAATCAGTGAAAGAGAGTTTCAACCAAGGGTGGCAAGACACTCCTATCAGCCCAGCATTAGGAAGAAGAGGCAGGAGAATCATAAACTCAGTGCTACCCTGCAGTACATAGAAAGGCCCTGTCACAAGGAAAAAAAGGGGGGGGTGGAAGATGAGAGAAGCAAAGCAGTAATAAGGGGAAAAAGAAAGATGGAGAGAATGTACTCAACTTACTGTATCCCCCTCTGTAAGGTATCTTCACAATAAAAAAAATATTTAAAAACAAAGAAAAAAAGATGGAGAAAAGACATTTGGGTACTTCTATACTGAGGAGGTGGGCCAGCGTTGCGGGCTAGGGGCTCTGTCATGACCACGCTTCTGTAGAAGCATGAGCACAATCTCTGACAATATATAAACATGTGGAATGGTGACATTCCAAGGAAACTTTACTTACAAAAGCAGTCAGTATGTGCCCCAAACTACAAAAAATAAAATAAAAAATAATAATCATCCTGCTTGAGTTCAAGCATATATTCCAAAATATGTTTACCACACCACTCACAGCAGCATTGTTTCTAATAGTCAAAATCTTTTTTTTTTTTTTTGGGTCCAGTCATGGGGCCTGAACTCTGGGCCTGGGCGCTGTCCCTCAGCTCTTCAGCTCAAGGCTAGCGCTCTACCACTTGAGCTACAGTGCCACTTCCGGCTGTTTTTTTTTATTTTGCTTATGTGGTGCTGAGGAATCGAACCCAGGGCCTCATGCATGCAAGGCAAGCGCTCTACCACTGAGCCAACTTCCCAGCCCTAGTCAAAATCTAAAAATGAGCCAGGTGCCAGTGGCTCAGGCCTGTAATCCCAGAAACTCAGGAGACCTGAAGATCACAATTCAAAGCGAGCAAGGCCAGAAAAGTCTCTGTGAGACTCTTATCTCCAATTAACCAATCCAAAACCAGAAGTGGAGCTGTAGCTCAAAGTGATAGAAGGTGAACTCTGAGCAAAAGCAGCTCAAGGACAGAGCCCAGGCTCTGAGTTCCAAACCCCACACAACCAACAATAACAACAACAAATCTTAAAATGAAAGAAGCATCACATGAACAGTAAAAGCGATGGTAATTCACTTATTTGAAAGTCTGAGATTCAGTCACCCAACCACATATTTCTGTGAGTGTGTCTCAAAAACAGTGTACTAGTAAACACCTACGTGAGATGCTGAGGCAGGATGCAATGCTTGAGTTCTGGGAGTTTAAAATCAGCCTGAGCAACATGGTGAGATCTTGTCTCAAGAGAAACAAGTAGGGGCTGGGAAGGTGGCTCAGTGGTAGAGCGCTTGCCTTGCATGCATGAGGCCTGGGTTTGATTCCTCAGCACCACATAAGCAAAAAGAAAAAAGCTGGAAGTGGCGCTGTGGCTCAAGTGGTAGAGCGCTAGCCTTGAGCTGAAGAGCTGAGGGACAGTGCCCAGGTCCAGAGTTCAGGCCCACGACTGGACCCCCCAAAAAAAGATAAACAAGTAAAACTAAATAAGCTGGTGCCCGTGGCTCATGCTTGTAATTCCTAGCTACTCAGGAGGCTGAAGATCACAGTTTGAAGCTAGCCTTGGCAGGAAATTCCATGAGACTCTTCCAAAAAGCTGGAAGTGGAGCTGTGACTCAAGTGGCAGCGTATCTGCCTTGAGCAAAAAGGCTCAGGGACACCACCCAGTCCTTGAGTTCAAGCCTCAAGACTGGCCAAAAATACATAAATAAAATTAATTAATAACATAAATACTGTGTGAGAAAAGCCAACCACAGAAGAGATGTCACGTAATTCCACCATGACAAGTTCCACAATACATAAGCAAAACTATAACGATATAGATGTATACATAGGTACATGGGAAAAACAGATACACCCAACACAGCACTTCTTCCTAGAAGTGCAGAGTGAGGGTGCAGCTGGGCGGGGTCAGAAGGAGCTCCAAATGCCCGTGAAACTCGGGCCTGCTTCTGATTGATTTGTCTTCAAACTGTAAACATGAAAAGAACCGCTTTGTGATCTGCTATGGAGAGAGAAGGGAAAGAACGGAGGTGCAGAAGAATATAAGACAGATGAGACAGGGCGGCCGGGTCCGGTACTCACTGAGGATGGAGCTTGTAGAGGGTCCCGTCCACACCCACTGTGACTTTGAGGGTGTCCAGCCCCCGGTTTTCTCGTATCTTATCCACCACGGCAGCCATGCCTGCGCCACAGAGCTGGGCCGCCCGCCTGGCCACCACGGTGCACACCTCCTTGACGATGATGCTGTCATCGCAAGTGCTCTCGAGGCCCAAGTGGCGGAGGATGGCGCGCACCTGCAGCAGGGCCAGGCAGTCGCTGAGGTGGGAGAGAATGTAGGTCAGTCATGCAGATAAGACTCTGTGGCCTCCCTGTCCAGAGCCCACCCAGAGTTCTGGAAAGCTGAGCCCCAGGGGCTCACACTTGTAATCCTAGCTCCTCAGGAGGCTAGGATCTGAGGATTGTGGTGCAAAGGCCAGTCCAGGCAGGTGCCTGGGATCAAGTAGTAGAGTACCAAGCCTGAACAAAAAAGGTAAGGGGACAGCAGCCAGGCCCTGCATTAAGGCCCAGGACCAGCACCAAAAACAAACAAATAAATAATTGGGGGGTGGGGGTGGGAGAGAGCTGGTCCTGAACACAGCAGTGTTCATCCCACTGAAGCACATCGACTCTTCCTCAGGGTAACAGGTGAGTGAAGAGACGGCTCCTCATTCTACTTTACCTACCCAGGGAGAGCACTGCTACTACAAAACGGATTACTGAAAGCAGAAAGCAATTCACTGCGGATTCAACTCATTTAGAAATATCAAAGACAGTGGCAATGGCAGCAAGTGGCCATTTTCCAGTTGCGAAGCTGTTTTCACATCCTTTCTCTTGTTGCTGTCAGTGGGTCCACAGGACAGGCATTAATTAACCAGCATTGGACTCCTGCTTACTGTCTGCATCTGTTTGGGCATTACTTATGAAACAGATGTAAATAAACATCACAGGAAGAAAATAAAAACTCTGACATAAAAGGAACTACTTTAGAAAACTGGAATCACATTCTCGATTATCCACAGACAGGCAAGCTAGAACATTTTCTCTCTAGTCACTGGTACAGACACCCTAGAGGTGCATTTGTGTCAGCCGTCTGTTTCCTGGTATATGGCCTGAGAGTAATGGCAGCATTAATCTTTAAAGGGCTCTGAAATGCACATTCTAATTTGGAGCAGAATTTTCTGCCTTGGACTAAGGGGGGGAAAGAGGGTTGCTCTAATGAGCTGCCTCACTACACACTTCTGCATTGTCTGACTATCCCATCTGGACTTGATCCTTATCACCCAATTACTGGAAGCCAGCAGGTAGGAAAGCCCGCCAAGCTGAATACAGATGCTTTACTTGATACCTTCCTCTGTGCTTTTCCAGTTACATCCTAGGAGCAAGTATCTCTCTAGCTTTCATATATGATGGAAACACAACAACAGTTTTCATGACCTCACATCATGTTCAGTCTTTTGTACAAATGTCACGTGAAAATGGGGGAGCCATCTGTGCTTTAGCTGAGTATAGTGGCTCACGCCTGTAATCCTTACTACTTGGCAGACTGAGAGAGGGGGTTGTGGTCTGAGGCCAATGCAGGCAAATTTGTAAGACTCCATATCTCAATCAATTGTTGGGTGTGGTAATGAGCACCTGTTATCCCAACTACTGGGGAAACACAATGGCTGGGTGTAGATTCACACTCCTGTCATCCCCAGCAACATAGGAAAGCACAAATATGAGGATCACAGCCCAGGACAGCCCAGCTTAAAATGCAAGACCCTACCTTGAAAATAACCAATGCACAAAGGAGCTAGAGGCATGTCTCAAGTGGTAGAGGCCCTGAGTTCAATTCTTAATACCACCAACTACCACTACCAACAACAACAACAAAAGTGAGCTTTGTTTGTGAAAGCCACTTGGGTCTTGAGCTGTGGAAATCCTTTTATCTTTTCTCTCTGTGAGGAAAAAAAGAAGGATATACATGGTCCTACCTTACCCAGTCCTTGCTTTCTCACCTTTCAATCTGAGACAGGAACTTGGTTTCAAAGATTCCCCGAGTCTTGAGCCGCTCTGAGATGCGGCCACGGAAGAGCAGCCCACGCTTAGTAAAGTCGATGAGGATGTTACGGACAATCTCACCCAAGTACATGCCGCTGATCATTTTCTCAAACCTGCCAGGGGGACAATGTTCAAGCAGTTTAGCAGGAAAGGTGTTGGATGTGCTGAGAAAGAACAGAAAAAGAGGACAGAAGATGCCCCTTGATGGAAAGGAATTGGTTCCCTTGGGCAAAATTCTCAAGAGTCCTCTCATGCTGACCCACCACTTTCAGCAAAATAGATCACAGGGTGTCTGAGGTTCACAGGGCTTCCTGAGATTGGGCCCCACCTGGGCTCATTTCCTTTGCAAAGGCTTATTCCCTTGAGAAGAAAACAAACCCCACCATGCTTCCAGGAACAGCAGGGGGGGGGGGCGGGAGAGCAGGAGAAGTTTGTCCTTGATCTCACTAGGAAGTTTGCATGCTTTCTCCTAGACCTAGTCGTTTTTAAGCAACTACTGTCAACAGCAGCCCACTGCCCTGATCCCTAGAAGTGAGCATGGACATGTTTGAGCATCTTTGAACCCTGCATAGAATCTCTTAAAAAAAAAAAAAAAAACACAAGGACTGGAAAGGTGGCTCAGTGGTAGAGTAACTGCCTTGAATGCATGAGGCTCTGGGTTCAATTCCTTATCACCACATAAGCAGAAAACTCCAAAAGTGACACTGTGGCTCAAGTGCTAGCCTTGAGCTGAAAGAGCTGAGGAACAGCACCTGGGCCCAGAGTTCAAGCCCTACAACCCCCCCCCAAAAACACACACACACAAAACCAAAGCTACCAGTTTCAAATATACCCCACCACAACTGATTATTTATTGATTGCTTGATGGTCCTGGGGCTTTACCTTGGGGCCTGGGTTCTGTCCTTGAGCCTCTTTGTGCTCAAGGCTTATGCTCTACTACTTGACCTACAGCACCACTTCTGGCTTTTGCCGAGTAGTTTGTTTGGGATCGAAGTCTCATGGCCTTTACTGATTGAACTGGCTTCGAACCACAATCCTTAGATCTCAAACCTCCTAAGTAGCTAAGATTATAGGCATGAGCATGGTCCTGGATAATGCAGTTATGACACTATAGATAATATCATTCTAATGGGAAATGAGTTTGATCTAGGCCTGCCTCTTAGTTCAGAGCCTCTACTACCTCCTCTGGGCTTGGTGATGCTGGAGGCCACTTTTCCCATTCTACCAGTAGAGGGTACTATATGCAGAATGGAGACACAGGAGAAAAAGTGCCTCCCAGCACTACTTATTTATCCTTAATCCAGGGTTAAGCAGATGGTTCTACCTTTATCTGTTTCCTTGTAGTTCAGACTTAAGGCTCTTAACACTCCCCTGCCTGTTCTCCCAGGCTTCTGGGTAAGAACTGCTAACATTTATTCACTCAAACTTTCCAGATGAATTTGACAAGAAAACTTTTCAAAGAAGTCCTTAGCACCTAAAGAGAACAAGCATCCTGGGAAATGCTGCAGTGGCAACTCAGATCACCAGCTGGGGTCCACTTCTGGGATGCCAGGCCCACCACACACAGTTGGGTGCCTACCTCTGTTTGCCTGCGTTGAGAGAGAGCTCATCCACAGCCACATCAAACTCTGTGCGGAAGTCATCCAGGCATCCATTGTCCCCAAAAGCCCCCCACTCCATGTTGACGCACATCCGTCCCTCCTCTCCATCCACCAGCTCCACGTTGCGCATCTCCTCCATGTAGCAGGCATTGCTGCCTGTGCCTGCCAATCACAGAGCACCGGGCTTCAATCAGCATCACCCTCCCATCCACCTAGGGATGTTCCTCCCCACATGGGAAGGCCAGGAGTGTCCTTACCAACGATAAGACCAACTTCACAGTGAGGGTCCTCATAGCCACAGGTCATCATGGTTCCGACTGTATCATTCACCACAGCAACCACATCTAAGTCAAACTCCTGAGGCGGAAACAGACAGTTTAATCCACAAGGGAGCCACAGCATTCTCCTTTCAGACATGTCTAACCAAGATTTCTATGTGTGTAAAGCCTATTGCATATGGCATGGCTTATTCTCTCATTCACTCAGGCATCTACTCAAATGTGCCCACTTCAGAGACACCTCCCTGGATAGTAGCCTTCAGGTGCATCTGCTCTCCACTTTCCTCGTCCAACTTTACTTTTCTTTATAGCCCCTAACAGTAACCCCACCACCACTACCACATCCTGGGCACAGAATAAAACTTCCTTGGAGTCCTTCCTGACTCTTGATGTCCAGAGCAGGGCTTGATGGACAGCAAATACTTAACTATTTATGAGTGATAAGTTAATGTTCCCCCAACCAAAGCAACCACACTCAAATGTTGCCCCCAACTTCTGAACACGTGGATTATTTCAGATATCAGGGAATGGATGCACAGGGCCTTACCATACCACGGCTCTCTCACCTCTCGCCGGTGAATTGCTTCCTTCAGCAAGGTGACCACATCCTCGCCCTCACAGCCAGACGCCTTGAAACCCTTTGTCCACTTGAGCAGGATGCTCTAAAATTCACACATGCACATGGAGGAGACATCAGAAATGGATACCCAACCATTCCTGAATCCCATTCTCCTCCCAGCTCAGACAGATTCCTGGGAATAGCCAGTCATCTCATCCACAAATAACGCTAAACTTGCTTCTAAGATACTGACAACTTAGATTTACTGACTACTGCCTGGACTACTGACTATGCTGTGCACCTAGGCTAAGCACATCACCTGTGTTACATCATTTAATCCTTGCAGCCACCCTGTGGAACATTACCCAGGATCACACCCACCATACAGGTAACTAAGCCACTGGGATACCTCATCTAAGACCTACAGTTTGAAGAGAGGAACAGGGCTCTCACCAAGGCCTGCGGGGTCCATCTGCAATATGCAGAAGCCCCTATACACGTGTTTTCTTGCTACACTAACTAGTGTACCCTGTTCTCATCCTGTATTCACATAACAAAGGCCAATTGTGGGTCTCTGAATTTCTAGACTGCAGTATGAAACAAACCAATGCCTTGTCCATAGCTAGCAGGAAGCACATCCTACCCCCATCCCCTCCATTTGTCAGTCAGGAGTCCCTCCAGGCTCCTCAGAATCCATTAAAGATGCAGGCTCATCTTTAATGCGCCTTTTGCGGTGTCACAGGGTCATCACACAGGTCATCTGCCCATCAGCTCTGCACATGGAACAGGTGTTTATTCCCCAGAGCCTTCTGTACTGTGCAGCCATCAGCAACGAGCACATCAAGATCCCTTTCTCAACTTTCTAGGACAGTGGGTGGTGTGCCCAGAGTGGGCTCATACCACCAACTTGCATGGTTGTCTCAGGTTTGTTCATGGTTCATGCCCCACTGCCTGAGCATTTCTTTCATCAACCTGGATGTGTCACACTGTGGCTAGATCCCAAGAGACCCAGAAGAACAAAGCGTATCCCTGTGGAACCCTGTCTTACACACCCACATCCACACAAGAGTGTGCTTGTCTTTGCCCTTCTTGTATGCAAATCAGTCCTATCTCTGGCAAAAGTTTGCATTTGGCACTTTAAAGTTTATAGAATATCCAAATAACACCAACATCATTAAAAGTGCTCCTTATAATAAGACAACACCAGGCTCCAACAGCTGTGAGGCTTGCCCAAGGTGAGTGATGAGTAAATACAGCCAAAGGGCCCCCAGGTTGGTTTGTGTGCCTCCATCAGCAAGATGAGCTCACCAGAGCCAACAAGAGCCTTCTGCTTTGTTGGCTCTTAACTTTTATAGCTCTACACTTAACATCTGCTCCTTATAGGAACTCAGAACATATGGAACTCAGAACATATAGCACAGTGATCTGAAATCTTAACAATTCAGACAGAAACCGTTAATGTAACCTCCAGCTTGCCTGATGCGTTGGATAGCATCTGCTTAAAATTTTTAGGGCAAGGTACCAGTGGCTCACATCTATAATCCTAGCCATTTAGGGCACTGAGATCAGGAGGATTGTAGTTCAAGGCCAGCACAGGCAACAAACTCATGAGAACCCCACTTCAACCAATATCTGGACTTAGCTGTGTGCACCTATTATCCTGTCTACATTGGGAAGCATAAAACAAGCAGATCACTGTCCAGGTGTGGGCGCAGGTGAAAAAGCAAGATCCTACCTCCAAATAACAGGCATAAAAAATAGGGCTGGATGATGGGAATGTGGCTTAGTGGTAGAGTGCTTAAATAGCATGCATAAAGCCCTGGGTTCAATTCCTCAGTAGCACATAAACAGAAAAAGGCAGAAGTGGTGCTGTAGCTCATGTGGTGGTGCACTAACCATGAGCACAGAGAGGCTCAGGGACAGAGCCCAGGCCCGGAGTTCAAGCCCAAGGACAGGCAGGAAAAAAATAGGGCTGGAGGCATGGCTTAGTAGTACAGCATCTCCCTGGCAAGCTCCAAGGCCTACGTTTAAAACCAATCACACTCTCACCCCTACACACATAGGAAAAAGCCTGGAAGGATATATGCTGGCAAGTTTCAACCTGCAGCTTGCATATATGCTGGCTGTGACATGAAAGGATCAACTGCTCAAGCAACAGCACTCTTGACAATGAAGTCATCAGCTCAGATCCAAGCACTGCTGTTCAGTTCTCTTCCACTTTTCAACTAACTCATGTCCTGATCATCTAGAGCACCAGACTTTCACCCACCTGTTCATCCATCCAAGGCAAATTAAAGGGAATGAAACCATAGAATAACCAGTGCGTCGATACAATAAACAGATAATAAACCAGTGCATTGATACAATGAACAGATGCACAGAATAAACAGAAGGAAAACCTCCTGGGCCCCTATCAAAGGCCTACAGAGTAGGCGGGCAGAATCTGAGCACTGGGGTTTAGATGTGAAGAAACTAGAATTCAAATCATGGCTTGGCCATTGCTAGACTAGGTGGAGCAAATCACTCAGCACCACTGCAAATCATCTTCCTCTCTGTGGAATGATATACAAATACTTATTATATAGTCACTGTGTGGATTAAATGAGATAATGCACAAAGGAAGACAAGCATAGTATGTGCCACAGAGTACTCTAAACATGTGGCTTAATACTTTAATGAACCAGTCCCAAAGACTGGTGAACCCAAGCTAACCCACTTAATGAGCCTTGACTAAGGTAGGGTCTCCCTTCCTACCTTCCAATGGCTATTCATGACCTTGTTTCTTTGCTCTCAGCTCATCTTTGTGTGTGCTGACACTGGGGCTTGAACTCAGGGTCAGGGCCTGAACCCTGTCCCTGAGCTTCTTTAGGACACCTAAGCTAGCGTCCTACCACTTGAGCCACAGCTCCACTTCTGGTTTTTTTGTTAGTTAATTGGAGATAAGAGTCTTCATGGGCTTTCTTGACTTCAAACTGTGATCCTCAGATCTCAGCCTCCTTGAGTAGCTAGGATTACAGAGGGAGAGCCACTGGCACCTGGCTTCAGCTCAACTTTTGCTCCTGCTCCAAACTCGGGCTAGCTGATGGTCAGTAAAGCCCCCAAAAGAGTCCTCTAGGAAGGAACTGTTACCTCATCCAGGCTGTTCTGCTGGCAGGGGAAGGAAAAGGTGAAACCCAGAGGCAGGGACACACCCTTCATGCCCATGTACTCCAGGAAGTCGGCGATGCATTGGACGATGTGGTCAAAGAGCTGCAGGGAGAAGACGGGACGCTGAGGAAGGGGCTGCGGCCAGGGAAGGCTGCCTCCAGCAGCAGGGCCTTCCACCCAGAAGGAAGACAGGCTATCATGAGCCTGAGACGACACTGGCTCTCCAGGGCTCTGGGTGAGCAGAGAAGGTGCTATCTTTGAGGACAGGAAGGACTCTCAGGCTTTCCCAGGAGCCACGGGCCTCACCTCCTCCCCCGTGCCGTGCATGACCTCCTGCGGAATGGCGTAGATCTTGTTGTGCATCTCCACTCCTCTCCGCTTCCCGTTCCGCACACGAACCAGAAGGACCCGGAAATTGGTTCCTCCGAGGTCCAAAGCCAAGAAATCCCCTTTCTCTGAAGAGAAGAAAAAAGATGCTGGTTTATGCATCTTCCTGATAGCTGTTCATCCACAGAGGCCCACACTTCAGAAGGTGACGGAGTGGACAGAGCTCCAGCTAACAGCAAAGAAAGTCCTTCTGGCTCCTTGGTGGTTTTCAATGAGTTCCTATATTGGGCCTCAACTGTCAGAATGCACACAGGAAGTGGGGATATAGCTTCAAACTAAATGCACCATTTGTGCCAAATCAAATGTCACCCCGGGTTAGATTCTAGAATAAAACAGAAAAGTGCAATTCTTTAAGGGAACTTGAAAGGAAATTTTTAAAAATGAACAACAGTCTTTTGCTGGGCAATTCCGATGAGCTATAAGCTTCACATTTAGTCTTCCTCCCACCCTTAGGTAACCTCTTATGGAAGGTAAGCACAGACTGAACTCCAATTCTACCTGTAGAGCCTATACCAACCATGCTACACTGATCTCACAGATCATTTTCTCTGATCTGGAGAAAAACTGTTCGTAAGTTCTTAAGACTTTCACCAGAGGCAGAGGACTTTCCTCTGTGGACCATAGAGTCTGGAGCAACCACTCCATTTTGCCAGGGAAGAGGAAAGCCATCATAAACAATTTGTATTATAGATGAAGGGGGATAGCTGTATGCTGATAAAACTATTTACAAAAGTAAATCTAGGCTAAGTGCCAGTGCCTCACACCTGTAATCCTAGCTAGGTAGGAGGCTGAGATCCGAGGATCACAGTTCAAAGTCAGCCAGGTAAAATACCAGAGACACTTACCTCCTATTAGCCAGCAATAAATGGATGTTGAGCTGTGGCTCAAGTGGTAGAGTATTATAGCCTTGAGCAAAGAAAGCTAAGGAAGAGTACCCTGAGTTCAAGCCCCTCACTAAATAAATAAATAAGCAAGCAAGCAAACCAGGGCCAAATCGAAATCATGGAATACAGTTTATGGCCTGACACAGAATAATGTGGTAATCATGAGAGCTTATTCTGGGACCTGAACTGATGAATGTGAATTTCAGCTCTGACACTGTCTAGTTATAAAAACTCTATGTCTCTGTTTTCTGCCATATATACCAATTTGTTAATAAAATTAACTGCTAATCTTTAGTAGTTAACAAATAATAAATGGATTAACAAAAGTTAGAGAGAGAGTAGGTTAAGATTATTACTGTTTGCCTTTTTCAGAGGAAGCCCTTGTTGACTTTATGGACCACTAGAATTCTCTTAGAATAATGCAGCTGCAGAGACATGTCCTGGTTTAAACAACTAAGGAAGCCCTCCCTGAATATCAACACCATGGTAAAAAGCCTTCCTGGTGGCATCCCTGGTTTGTACCTGAGCCATCAGGGGTGGCACAAACATAGGTGGGCAGCATCTTCACAGGGGCAATGGCGTGAGTCTCCTTGCTCAGACCTCGCTCCATTTCCACCTTCATCCTCCTCTTCACCTCCAGAAGCTGCTCACGGCTCAGCTTGAGAGGTTCCAGGGTTTTCTGGCGGGCTCGGTGTTGGTCAGCCAGCCGGTAGGCCACCGCTGTCACCATAGCTGCTCCTTTGCCACTGCCGTCCTCAGAGCGGAGGAAGCGAACATCACAGTCAGGCACCAGCCGCCGCACAGTCTTATGAAGACGCTTGGCAAAACTACAGCCACCCAGGTGGGTAAGAGACAGGCATCCACAGTTAAAGTCAGTGGTATAACATGCTGGCGCTGAAGCCCACTGCCTCCCCCTAGCTGCTCTGAACTTCCTCTCTCCACTCTTTCCCACATCGTAGGCCACTATCTGATAACTCAAGCTAGTCAACTATGACCACCCTTGGCTGGGTTGATCCTCCACTGAAAGCAAAGAGTCCTTCTAACAAGTCACTGTCTCATACATGCAGTCACATGAAACCACCTGGTCCTCACTGATAGGGCCAGTAGGCCAGGCCACAGCCTGTGCACCCAATCAGGTGCAGCAAGCCACCACTAGGGAGCCTGACAGAATCTGATGGTGGCTATCCACCTGCTTTTCACATTCCATCCCCTACTGTATTTGATGCAGCCCTGGAAAGATCCCAGGAGAAAAGTTTGAAATGCCTTTTGTCTGACGTTTTGGCCTCTTTTCTCAGTTCCTGCCATGGATCCCAAAAATGTCTGAATAGAGCTGAAGACAATAGATTTGTTCATCAAGAAACTCTCAGGATGGTAGCAGCTTTGAGCCAGGAGCTTGCCACTCCATGTATGATCTATAGCGCAGCAACTTCTTTGGACATTGTTTAAGATATGTTATCTCAGCTGAACATCAGTGGTGGTTCATGCCTGTAATCTTTACTCAGGAGGCTGAGATCTGAGGATCCAGGTTTGAATCACCCAGGAAGGAAAGTCTATTAGGTCCGAGCTCCAAGTAACCAGCAAAAAGCCAGAATTAGGACTGTAGCTCAAGTAGCCTTGACTGTGAAAGTTGAGGGATAGTGCCCTAGGCCCTGAATTCAAGCCCTAGTACTGGCGCACACACACATACACACACACACACACACACACACACACACATACACGTGGGATCTCTGGGCCATCCTCATCCCTTCAGGTTCAGAATCTGCCTGTAGACAAGGTCTCTAGGTGCTTTGCCTGCACATTAAAGATTTGGAGGCACTGGGCTGAACAGCTAAGGAATCTCAGGTCCTAAGACTTCTGCCGTAACCAGTTCAGTTAATGAAGGCACATTGACCTGGGCCTCATTGGGAGAAAATAATGAGAAATAAGTGAGCACAGAGAAAGACCACTAAGGCCCAATGGGTCTATGAATATTTGGGTAGATATGAACCAAAGGATCAAAACATGGACAGGACAGGATTCATTAAATACCACAGTCAGACAGAAAAACTAGAAATGCCTTTCATCTGACTTTTCTTTTGCAAAGGCCTTCCATTCTAAGGAATATGAAATGCAGCTGCTTTATGGAGTCACCAGGTCCCAAGTGCTCTGGGGGCTCCATGACTCTGGGCACTAGGACACTTGACTCACTGGGGGTGTTTCTTGTAGACGGAGCCATCCACGCCAATGGTGGAGCGCAGGCGTTCCTCCCCCTTGTTCTCCTTGATGCGCCACAGCACAGCAGCCAGAGTAGCTGCACAGAGGTTGGCTGAGCGCGTGGACACGATCTGGCAGATCCGGTGAGTAGCCACGCAGTCCTCCTGCAGTGGATCTATGCCCAGCCGCACCAGGACCTGGTAGGCCTTCTGGAGACCATCTTTTTCCCTGCAAAATGAAAAGATTACATGTGCACGTCTGTTTTGCTGTGGCCAGTGGAAGGAGCTGTGGGCTGGCAAGGAAGCCCCTCAGCTATAGAAAACTCCTGCCACGGTGGGGGTGGGATGTGGGGAGAGGGCAAAAAGGAAGAGTATAAACCAGTCCTCTCCTGGAACATCATACAGACACAAATGTACATCGAGTGCTATTCTGCACTGTCCTTCTAGGTGTCCTTTTCTCCCCGCAAGAGGATAATCAAAAATTCTTTTGTGCAAACTATAGGAGGAGAAGCTGTTCATGGTGCTTCGCACACTGAGTATGAACTTGTGCTATTTGCTTGGCTTAGATAGAAGGGAGTCTCAGCCATCAGTGGCTTCTGAACATGAGTCTGGCTGTAGGAACCACTCCTACCCTTTGTCTATCTGTGCCTGAAGATAGTGGGAAAAACCCCAAACTGTGACCTAAGTGCCCTTCTGGGGAAATAAAAGCACTCTGTAAGAGCACTCATGTCCCTTCTGGGCTTAGCAAATAGTAGGTACAGTTCTTCCAAGGGGTTTTCACATCTTTCTTTGACATTGAAGTTCCTCTTCATATCTGGATCCTTAAACCACAGGACCTCCTCGATGTCCAAATGGAAATCTCAAAAACAGAACTCTGGGCCCAATTCTTAGGATATTGTTTGTTGAAAAATATCCCAACCATCTTTACTGAGCTGTGGGAATAAGTACCTGCATCTCTGAGCATCCCAGAACCTAATTCTTGGTTATGAAACAGGGAGAAACTGCCAATGTGGAATGGAATGTCAGAGGTTCAGGAGAAGGAAAAGGAAACAGATGAACATGAGTTATTAAGTGTTTTAATGCCTCCTGCTCTAAGCCCAAGGAAATGGACAAGTCTCAGTACATGGAAGCCAATGAGTCCCACTACCACTTACTGAAATGGACAAGAGTAGAGATGAGTAAGTGACGTCACAGACCTAGCACTGGACACCTGAGACCCTCTTGTGGCCCTTCCTAACAGGTAGGAAATAAAAATAAAAAATAAAATACCTCTTACTTGTTTTCCAACTGCCTGTCCCACAATTCTAGAGACTCAGTGAATTGGTGGGACCAGAAACTTACTCTTCAATATCTGAAACATCTTTGGTCTCAAAGGAGCCTGTGGTGAGGAGTTCTGGGCTGAGCTTCCCCTGGAAGAGTAGCTCTTCCTTGGCCATCTTCACCAGGATGAGCCTCACCAGCTCCCCCATGTACATCCCGCTGATCATCTTCTCGAATCTGCGGGAAGAAGCAAACCAGAACAATGATGTCCCCACCATTAATGGACATGCAACTTTCATAGGAAGGTGAAACATCCACACACTTTAGAAGTCAGGGTATGTACAATTAAGAATTAACATAAGTGTCACTACCCAGGGATCAGATGTCCAGAGCTGTGACAGCTCGGGTGGCTGTGAGGACTGTGCTGGGACAGTCCTGCAGGCTAGCTGACCTTAGACTCTATGGAAAAGGATAGATAGGCCAAACTTGAGATAAAGTATGTTTCATATGTAGGGGAGTTCTGATTAAACATGGAAGACGGATGTAGCCACTCATCCACTCACAATGCCCTGCCCTTGCGGCCCATTGTTCATTCCTGAGAAAATGGGCTAAAAAAAAAAACAACCTGGGACAGACAGGAAAACAACCTGGGACAGACACGGAGTGACAGAGCAAGGGTAGAAGGAAGAAAGCCCAGGACAGATCTTGAGAATCTGGGGATGAAGACAACAAAAGCTGGGTAGGTAGGTAAAGGTAAGAGGTATATTTCAGAAAGATGGCCTTCAAACTACAAAACCAATTTAATTTCTCAACACTAGGTGACACTGTTTGCTTTAGAATTTTAGTCTTTCTAGCCAGGACCATGGGAAACCAAGCCCTGGCTATTTTCTTTTTTAAGACCACTTGGTGTCTCAGAAAAAATGTGGATCTGGGAAACAGGAGGCAACAGAGACTATGGTACTAACTAGAATGAGCTACAGAGACAAGGAGGCTGCAGAGCAGGAAGATGACAGGGGCTTAGAATTGCCTACCAGAGAGAAAACCCAGGCCCTTAGGAGGTAACTTGCCCCAAACCCAAGGTCAGCCAGGTACTAGCGACTCACACTTGGAATCCTAGCTATTTGGGAGGCTGAGACAGGGAGAGTCTTAGTTTGAGGCCCGCCTGAGCACACACCATAGACTCCTTTCTCAATTGGTGGCTGGACACAATTATAGATGTCTATCATCTGTGCTACATAGTGGGCCGAGACTGGGAGGATCACTGTTCCAGGATAGCTTGGGCAGAAAAGTTGAAAGAGGGGCTGGGAATGTGGCCTAATGGTAGAGTGCTTGCCTAGGATGCATAAAGTCCTCAGTACCACATAAACAGAAAAAGCCAGAAGTGGCATTGTGGCTCAAGTGGTAAAGTGCTAGCCTTGAGCAAAAGAAGCACAAGGACAGTGTCCAGCCCTGAGTTCAAGCTCCAAGACTGGCCAAAAAAAAACAAAAAACAAAAAAACCCACACACAAGAAAAGTTAGAGATCTCAGCATGCACATGTCATCCCAACTATAATAGAAAGCATACACTAACTAGGTAATCTCATTCCAGGTGTGTGCCCATGCAGGGAGACCGTATCTCAAAATAATAATAATAATAATAGGCAGCATAATAAAAGGCTGGAGGCATGGTACAGCAGTAGAGAGCCTGCCTAACAATCCATGGCCCTGAGTTCAAACCCTAGAACTGCCAAAACCAAAAAAAAAAAAAAAACAATGCCAGATAAGGTAGGGAAGGATGAGGGCAAAGAGAGAGCTGGAAGCATTGCTGGAAGCATAAGATGCTTTGAAATTACTGAAGCAAAGCCAGGCATGGTGATAAGCACATGTAACCCCAGCACTTGGGAGGCTGAGGCAGGAGGATAGTGAGCTTCAGGCTAACCTGGGCTATATAGTAAGACCTTGTCTTTAAAAAAAGGGCAAGGGGCTGGGAAGGTGGCTCAGTGGTAGAGCACTTGCCTTGCATGCTTGAGGCCCTGGGTTCGATTCCTCAGCACCACATAAGAAAAAAGAAAAGATCCAGAAGTGGCACTGTGGCTCAAGTGGTAGAGCGCTAGCCTTGAGCTGAAGAGCTGAGGGACAGTGCCCAGGCCCAGAGTTCAGGCCCCATGACCGGACCCTTCCCCCCTCAAAAAAAAGGGGGGGTGGGGAAGGCACTAATATAGGTCTTCACCTCAGTGGTAGCCTGGCTTTAACAGTAGGGAATTCAGCTGGGTGATGGTGGCTCACCCCTATAATCCTAGCTAATCAGGAAGCTGCAATCTGAAGACTGTGCAGTTTGAAGCCAGCCCAAGCAGAAATGTCTGAGACTCTTATCTCTAATTAACCAGCAATGAGAGAAAAAAGAAGAAAAGACAGAAAAAAGAAGGTGGATGTGTGGCTCGAAAGGTCAAGTACCAGCCCAAGAGAGAGTATGAGACCCTGAGTTCAAGCCTCCCTACAAACACCAAAAAACAAAATGTACATATCTGCTGCGTCACATTTTCTCCCACAAAGCTGGCTCTACTGGAGCGGAGGAGAGGAGGAGGAGAGAGCATTTCCTGAGAGGCAGTAACACTGTCTGTCATGACTTCAGGACAACCACACAGCTCACAATTTGCAAGATGTCTTCCCCTCTCCGGTCTTGTCTGAGGATAAGCAGGGGTGTGTTGCCAAGGCCTGGCTGGTCATTTTGTCTTTGGACACGTCAGAGGGCACAGAGCTCCTCAGAAATCACATGGGTGTGTGCCTCATTAATGGGGTCAGACATTGAGAGGCAACTTCTCAGCTCATAAACTCTCTCATCACCCAAGGCAGACACAAGTAGTTATGTTCCGAAAAAAGTTCAAGTACATGGGCTCACATTTCAACATGGGAGAGAAGCTTGTGACTTAAAGAAAGTAGGCTTGGGGGGGAAGCAGAAACTCTCTGATAAAGAAAAAGGCTATCTACCACGGTCGCAGTTCACAGAACTGGTTTGTTTCTCCCTAGAGATCGGAGTGGAAAGGTTTCCTAAAACAGTTACAGTGCCAAGGAGACCACAGAGGTGCTGCATTGCTCAAAATTGTTTTTGCAACTGTCGTCAGTGCTTGCAACAATCCTGTCTCAAGATCTTCAACAGAGGCATTGGGTAAATGGGAAATGGAAATAATGTTTTGTAAGAGTCAAAAGTAACAAGAAATCAAGTCTGGCCATGGTAAAGTACATAGCATTCAGGGCTCAAAAATGCTAGGTTCCTTCCTCCAATCCACCCTAGAACGTGACAAGGCCAAAAATGCTCTTATGCCCAATTTTCCTCCAGCTCTGTCTACCCGCAGCAGGACAGGATACCCCAGGATTGTGTGGGCGAGCAATGAGAAACCACTCATAGCTTCAAAACCTGGGCAATAATGGTGTGAGACAAACCAAAGGGGCTTTCTGAGACCCTCATCTTGATCAGACACTGTGGCTTTTTTTTTTTAATGTGACTCACATTTTCTATGGAAAATTTCCATAGAAGATGGAAAGAGAAGCCTGGTACTGGGGGCTCACACCTGTACTCCTAGCTACTCAGGAGAATGAGATCTGAGGAGCATGGTTCAAAGTCAGCCCAGGCAAGAAAGTCCACGAGACTCATCTCTAACCACCAGGAAACTGGAAATGGAGCTGTGGCCCAAAGTGGTAGAGTGCTAGCCTTGAGTGAAAAGGCTCAGGGATAGTGCCCAGGCCCTGAGTTTAAAAATTAAAATAAGGTAGAAAGAAAGGGAAGAGCTAATATACTTAGAATAAGACTTTCCAAAGTGACTGCTAATTCTGTCAGGCCCTCTCACATTCTCCTCATCAGTGTGTGTCTTGGCAACCTTTCAGGAATGATGGAAGAATGTTTAAACAAAGAAGATGAAAGCAACCCCAGCAGCCCAACCTCAGCCCCCCTGTTCCACCCCATCCACCCACAGAAAAGACTCACTTACAGTTGCTTCCCAGGGTTCAGCGAGCCCATGTCGATCTCCCGGTCAAACTCAGTGCGGATGTCATTGAGTGTGCCATCATCCCCAAAGGCCCCCCACTCCATGTTGATGCACATCCGCCCCTCATCGCCCTCCACCATGTCAATATGGCGCATCTCCTCCATGTAGCAGGCGTTGCTGCCAGTGCCTAGACAAAGCAAGGGACCACTCAGCACCCACCTGTGCTGATGGACGCCCCACCCATCTCTAGCCTGGGCAGAGACAGATCCTTCTTCCCTCTCTAGCTGCGTGGGACAGCACCCAGCACTCGCAGCAGGTGTTCACTCACCCACAATGAGACCAATCTCACAGTTCTGGTCATCATAGCCACAGGTCATCATGGTCCCAACTGTGTCATTCACCACAGCCACAATGTCAATATCAAAGTCCTGTGGAGATCAAAGAAGGGCTCTGACCTTCACCATCACAGAAGGGAAACAAGTGTGAAGATAGAGGAAGGGCGCCAAGAAGCCGAGCTCAAGTGCAACTCAAGGCTGCCTGCCCCCTTATAAACCCAACTCAACACCAAAGATTAGAGCTAGAAATCTAGGTCCAGACCCAGCCAAACAGCACCTCACTTTTACCCTGATCCCCCATATCATGGAGGACCGTTTTCCTGATGCCACCCTGTGGTCTGGTTTATAGACAGAGCTGCACTAAGAACAGCCCATCTTGTCTTTTCCAGCTTTACCTCTCCTCTTCTTCCTCCTCCTTCTCTTGATCCTCTTCCATCTCCTCACCTTCTTTCTTTCCATCTCACCCTCCTCAAATCTCCTTAGCTTCTCTTCTGCTAGACCTAACTTTTCCTCTCTCTGACCCATTCCATCCTCTTATCCAAGTCACACAGACTTTCTTATTTGACAGTGACACTCAAGTCTTCAGGAGGTTTCCTGTATCATATTAACCTCAAAACCCCAAAGGCATCTGATCATACACAAAATTATGGGGTAAATATACAGCAGGAAAGAAAAAGGCAAATCTTTCCTTAAGTTCTATAGAAAGTTCTCGTGCTGAGTTGGAGGACAGGGATAGATTTCAGAGTGGACACAAAATAGCCTATAAACTCCAAGTTCTTGCTTACCCCCCCTAACACTCACCCCTCTCCGCTGGATAGCCTTTCGGATCAGAGCCACCACATCTCTGCCTTCCACTCCACTGGATTTGAACCCCTTGGTCCATGAGACAAGGAAACTCTAGAAAAAGATCAAAGAATAAACATTGACTTCTCACAAGTAAAATGCAGACCACATTCCTCCAACAGTCATCATCAGCACAGTCATGACTGAATTTGTCGATTATGTCCTGTCTGGCCAGGAAAGAAGAAACTTGGGCCACCAGAAACCAGGAAAGCAGATTAAATGAATGATTCCTTCATGATTTGTTGCCCCTACAGGTAGAAAAGGCAGGACATAGAACTATCAAAATAAGACATATATTCCTAGAAATCATTCATTCTTTCAAGAGTCTCACTCATAATACTTCAAATGATTTCCTGATGTTTCATTCTGTTATCTTCAGTGAAATAGAAACACTGTGGAATGTGCAGGGGGAGAGGTGACAGAGCATCTCCCCCTGGTACTTCTTCACCTTGCTCTCACAACTACACACAGTCACCCAGGACTCTCAACTGAAACTTCATCTGCATCACAGGTCAAGGCCACCACACACCCAAAGGTAGCAGGTGGCCTGAGAGTTGTTCCTAGTCCTTCCAACCCCAAGGGTGAAGCATCTTACCTCATCTAGTTTAGTCTGGTGGCAGGGGAAGGAGAAGGTAAAGCCCAGTGGGAGCTTCTTGTCTTTGATTTGTAGCTTATCCATGAAGTTGGCCAGGCATTCAGCAATATGGTCAAACAACTAAGGACACATGACACAGGAAAAGATAATCAAGGAGGCAGAAAGCATAGAGATGAAGAACCTGGGCTATTGGCTTAGAAAAAAAAAAAACTGAAGCTCAGCGCCAGTGGCTCATACCTGTAATCCTAGCTACTTAAGAGGCTGAGATCCAAGATCGTGGTTCAAAGCCAGCCAGAGCAAGAAAGTCCGTGAGACTCTTTTTTTTTTTTTTGGGTCCCGTTGTGGGGCCTGAACTCTGGGCCTGAGTGCTGTACCTCAGCTCTTCAGCTTAAGGCTAGCGTTCTACCACCTGAGCCACAGCGCCACTCCCGGCTTTTTTGTTTTTGCTTATGTGGTGCTGAGGAATCGAATCCAGGGCCTCATGCATGCAAGGCAAGCGCTCTACCACTGAGCCACCTTCCCAGCCCCAAGACTCTTATCTCCAATTAACCACCAAAAAAAATAGAAGTGGTACTGTGGCTCAAGTGGTAGAGTGCTCGCCTTGAACAGAAGAGCTCAGGGACAGCACCCAGGCCCAGAGTTCAAGCCCCATGGCTGACAAAAAAAAAAAAAAAAAAGCTAGTTAAAGTTGTGCCAGATCCTTACAACTCTGAAGTCTTCATTTGCTCATCTATACACATGGACAAACTTCTCCTCAGAGTTACCAGTGCATGCAAGGGCTTTGCTCTAGGGCTTATTATATAATATCCTCCATTTAAACTTGTGTGTCAAAATAATTGTACAGAGGGAGAAATTATGGCCAACATTATCAGAAATTTAACGCATGCCCAAAGAACAGAACGTACTTTGGTGGCCCCATCCAAGATACCCAACTGATTACCTTACCAGAAAGGAAAAGCTCAAATCACTGCCAAGAAGTATTTTTAGCATCCCTGTTTCTTGTGACTGGGGGAAGGGTAGGCTACTGGCAATCTATGAATCCACTCAACAAAATAAGCAACTTTTATATTTTTTGTCCATTCTAAAAACATTAATCCCCTGGAGGCAATTTGAAGAGGTTATCTTTGTGTTCTAATTTCAAAACAGAAGATTCAGTGCTCTATGAAGAGTACTGAAGAATAAAAAGGGTTTTGTGGAGGAAGAACCTAATAACTGTGACCATGCTGAGCAGAACCCATAGCTCCTAAGGCCTTAGAGAAAGCTGTATTCACAAAAGCAGGGCTTTTTAATCAGCCCCAAAGCCCACAACTTTATGGCTTCCTTCTTGCCACTCAGCATCCTCAAAGGTGACCCTCCAGATGCTGAGAGGCTATGACCAGACACACAAGAGGCCAGCAAGGCTGGACCAGGTTAACCAAGAGGCAAAATCTAAAGATCAAGGCAGGGACAGAGGGAGTGTGTGTGTGTGTGTGTGTGTGTGTGTGTGTGTGTGTGAAATCTAAAGATCAAGGCAGGGACAGAGGGAGTGTGTGTGTGTACACCCATCATTTCCTTTCCAGGGACAGAGGGTGTGTGTGTGTGTGTGTGTGTGTGTGTGTGTGTGTGTGTGTGTGTGTGTGTGTGTGTGTGTGTGTGTGTGTGTGTGTGTGTGTGAAATCTAAAGATCAAGGCAGGGACAGAGGGTGTGTGTGTGTGTGTGTATGTGTGTGTACACCCATCATTTCCTTTCCAGATAGAAGCAAAGACGAAGATTTCACAGAAGATTGCCAAACGGTTGTCTTGGACAAGTAGTACTACCATCCTCACCTGGAAACATGTTAAAAATGCCAATTTTAGGCCAATAATGGTACCTCACACCTATAATCTTAGCTATTCAGGAGGCTGAGATCTGAAGGTCACAGATCAAAGGCAGCCCAGGCAGGAAAGTCCATGAAATGCATCTCCAATGAACCATTAAAAAGCTGGAAATGGAACTACCATTCAAGTGATAGAACACTGGCCTTGAGCATAAAAGCTAAGGAAAACCGGAAGATAGCAAAGGAGGGGGTGACATTGTCCAAAAAGAAATGTGTTCATTACCTGACTTACGAGACAGTACCCACTCTATACATCACCTTTTATAATAACAATTTTTAAAGTGAAAAAAAAAGCTAAGATACAGTGTCCAGGTCCTGAGTTCAAGCCCCAGCACAAAGAAAAGAGAAGAGGCTGGGAATGTGGCTTAGTGGTAGAGTGCTTGCCAACATGCATGAACTCTGGGTTTAGTTCCTCAGTACCATATTAACAAAAAAAGCCAGAAGTGGTGCTGTGGCTCAAGTGGTAGAGTGCTAGCCTTGAACACAGTGCCTAGGTCTGGGAAGGAAGGAAGGAAGGGAGGAAGGGAGGAAGGGAGGGAGGGAGGGAGGGAGGAAGAGAGGGAAATTTTAGCATTCTCTCAACATCTTACAAATACTGTAGCAGAAAGTCTGAGGGCAACACCAGCAACGAATTAGAGGTGATCTTCAGGTAGTGCAGTTTAAAGGACGAGAAAGTATTATTTGCATATACAAAAGATCTGAGAGATAGAGGGGGAGGGAGGCTGACAAGCCTATAGGTTTCTGTAAAACCTGGGGAAGGTCAACAGGAGAAACCTAGAAAGATAAGGCTAGTCTAGTCTGGGAGGCAACCCGCTCTAAGGGAACGCCCCATGTAGACTCTGTCCCTCTACCTTGATCCCAGGAAAGTTAACCCACCTGATGCTGGGCCTTCAACTTCCAAACCAAAACATTCTCAAAGACAGGCAAGTGCAGAGCCAGGACCAAAGGAATCAGTAGCAGACCTAACTCACTTGAACAGATGCTAAATATATTATTATGTAAGGGTTTCCAGATAGATTTTTTTGAGAAGGTTCTGGTCTGTTCCGAGATTATATAGGTTATATTACATATATTCCCAGTGCTACCTTCTTGATGGGCTAGTCAAAATGATCTCTAGTTCACCAGGCACTGGTGGCTCATGCCTGAATTCCTAGCTACTCAAGAGGTTGGGATCTGAGCATCTCGGTTCAAAGCCAACCTAGGCAGGAAAGTTTATGAGACCCTTATCTCCAATAAACTACTCAGAAAAAGCTGGAATTTGAGCTTTGGTTCAAGTAAGAGTGCACTAGTCTTGAACACAAAAAGGTTCAGGGATAGTGCCCAGGACCTGAGTTCAAGCCCCAGGAATGCAGAAAAAAAAAAAGACCTCTAGTACAAATAACTGTATCCAAAGAAAGGAAGCTGTGCAAAGAGATAAAGCAATCATCAGAGATGCCAAGGATCGCACCTAGACGTAACCACCGTTCCCTTTCCAACAGCCCTCCCAATGAAAGGCAGAGAAAACAAGCAGCAAAAAGGCTTTAAATATTGCCCTCATCCAGACAGTAGCCACAAGCTATCTCTGGTCATTTCCATTAATTAGAATTTAGGCAGGCACCAGTGGCTCATACTTGTAATCCTAACTGTTCAGGAGGTAGAGATCTGAAGATCTCAGTTCAGAAAGTAGCCTGGATAGTCAAACCGGAGACTCCTATCTCCAATTAACTGGAAGTGGAAATATGAGAGCACAAGCCTTGAGTGAAAAAGCATGAAGCCCTGAGCTCATGCTCCAGTACTGGCACTATAGGTATGCATGTATACACATATACATATACAATTAAAATTACACAATTAAAATTTCAGTTCCTCAGTCTAGCCACATTTTAGGTGCTCAGTGCCCCAAGTGACTGGTAGTCTTATACAGGACAAAAAAGTTATTTGGGCTAGTTTTGGGCTCAAAAATCCTATACCTTTTTAAAGGGAAGAAGAGAAGACCATCTGCTTCCTGGTCTGTTGGTTGAGGATTTAAGGATAAGATGCTAGGGGAAAGCACTAACACCTCCCTGCCATAAAAAGGCTCAAAGGGCATCATTCTATGATGTTTCCTGTTTTGTTTTGTTTTGTTTTCTTATTGGTTGGAGGCTCTGTTCCTTCTTCTGCCTATAAGATATACTTTTAAAAAACCTTAGCAGGGCATTCCTGCAATCCTAGCACACAGGATGCTAAGACAGAAGGATTGAGTTAGAGGTCTACACAAACACCTTGCCTCAAAAAAAAAAAAGTGTAACATTAGAGTCATGTGTGAATATAAGGTAATTAGCCCAATGAGATATTGTACTTCATTTGAACAAGTGATCTTTGTTACAACAAAAGATGGCCATGAAAATGGCCATACTAAAATAAGAACCATTTGCTGGTATAATTTCAGATAGAGTCCAGTGTTACAAGGCCTGGAGTCAGGAAGGAGATACTTCTTGAGCCGCCGAGGATGTTACATTAAGAGACCACTGTTGGAAATGATATACATGTTGCAAAGACTGATTTATTTGTACGGTTACCTGGGCCCTACCTATTGTAGGAGATGAGACTCCACCTAACACATTATCATGACATTGCAAGTCTTCTTCACAATACTAGATTAACTTTAGGTGTTCTTTTGGGGTTGTGTCTTGTTTATCAGGTTTCAAATATATGTAATTTGGAGTGGGGAATTCAGGATAAGAGACAGGCAACAGGAAGAAGAAAAGGTGGCCATATGACCATATCTCCCATGAAGGGGAACAATGCAATTGCTGACTACAGAGACTGAGAGCACAGTAGGAAGAACAGCTAGATGAACATGCAAAACCTCCCATGGAAAGACAGTAGGCCTTGTCTCGAAGCTACCCCACAATCTATAGGTCCTATCATCTCTCTTTACAGATAAATTAAGTGGAGGCTCTGCCTGGTGGTATTGCTAACCCAGAATCAGCTAGATTGCTCAAATATAGGTCTCAACCTTTCAGTATTCCAGTATGGTGCATGCATGGGAAAGCAGTGGAAGAAGCCTTTCCCTTCTGTGGTTCCTTCCCAACACTGTATTGGAGATAGGTGGATGATACCCCTACATAATTCCTTCTCTAACCTCAGCCTTTAAACAAGGCAAACAACTTTACCCTTTGAGCCACCACCAAAGACAAATAAAGGACCTAAAAATATCTCACTCACTCAGCTCATAATCAGTAATTCTTTTCCTAGCAGGGGCCTGCTTAGGGGAAGGAACAGGAACTAAAGGAGACCTCAGACTCCGCCCTTTCCAAGATGCGTCATTGCCATACTACATAGTTATCCCTCATTCATTCCTTTTACTACTGACTACCCTCTGGGCATAAAATGTGGCAGGAATAGCCAGATCTCCTGCTGTGGGGAAACAATACTGCTGTGCCAGTGTCCAAGGGTATCTTGATTGTCTTTCTGTGGCAAGGGAAGATGAAGAAAGACCATCCCAAGGGAGGTGTTTGTAGAGCCACACCTGTGTGCCAGAGCCTCTCATGATGTCCTCAGGGATAGCATAGATCTGGTTCTCCATCTCCACCTTCTGGAGTCCATTGTCTGTCACTCTTACCCGGAGCACGCGGAAGTTTGTCCCTCCAAGGTCCAGAGCCAAAAACTCACCGTGTTCTATAAACAAAGGTAGAGCCACAGTTAGTTTAGAGAAAGGATCCAACTGCCTGGCAGAGATCAACTATAACTTAAAATCCTAGCCAGTGATCAAGCCTGTAATCCTAGCTACCCAGGAGGCTAAGATCTAAGGAGCTCAGTTCAAAACCAGACCAATCTGAGAAACACTTATCTATCTACAATTAATCACGAAAAAGCCTTGAATGAAAAAGCTAAGATACATGGCTCAGGCACAAAGTTCAAGCCCTAATACCAGCACAAAATAAACAACCAAACAAAAACTTTTTTAAATACTGAAAACTCTGAGTCCCTCAGTTAACACTGCTTGTCTATGAGTGCTATAATGACCGATGGATCTTACACTTCTTAATTTAAATTTTATTGTAAAGGTGATGTACAGAGGAGTTGTAGTTAATAAGTCAGGTAATGAATACATTTCCTTTTGAACAGTGCCACTCCCTCATTTTCTCCCAATTTTTCCCCTTCTGACCCCACTCCCCCAGGTTGTAAAGTTCATTTTCAACATAGTGTCTAGTGATTCTCATTGCTGAGTTGGTTCACATTTCTGTGATTCCCCTTCCCCTCCCCAAATCAGATAAACTTATATACAAGACAAAGGGAACAGAAATAAAAAAGTGACAAAGGGTAAAAAAAAAAAAAAAAAACCAAAGGGAAAGAAAGAAGGAAAAAAGAACTGCAAACAGTATAATAAAAAAAACTCTTGTTTCCATTTCATTTCATTTCCATTTCATTTCCATAAGCCACATTCATAAGGACATGGAAAGACTTAGAAAAAAATTATATCAAGTGAAATAAGCCAGACCCAAAGAAACATAGGCTGAATGGTTTCCCTCATTTGCAAAACTAGAATGTCTATAAATCTACAAGTGAATCCGATGGATAGTAAAAGACAAATAATTACATTTGAGCATGATTAATTAAACAGCACTCTAAGCATTCACACAGTGAGAACAAAGGAGGAAGTTCTTAGGAGAGGATCACAATGGATCTTACTACTTAATGCTTAGCACTTTTATAATTCATATCAACAATGTGACAGTTTCACATCCAACAGTGGGGCCCTCACCCTCTCACAAGATTGACTGCTGTTCACTACATGTTTAGCAAGCTCTAGGGCCCCACAAGGCCCGTGCCAGAATTCTATATTTTAATTCTATTCTTCATATCCAAAACTTGACCTTTAATATTTATACTGCAATGCCAATGTCCTACATTGTTATAAACTCAATGCCTTAGTAAGTTGCTAAGCAGGTGCCCCTGAAGAAACTCAGGCTTAGTAGAATTTGAGAGGATGCTAAGTCTCAGAGTATGTAAGGCAAGAGTTGGTCCACTTAGCTGGGCGTAGTGGCTCACACTTGTAATCCTAGCTACTCAGTAAACTAAGATCTGAGGATCAGAGTTCAAAGCCAGCCCAGGCACACAAATCTGACTCTTATCTCCAATTAACCACCAAAAAGCTGGGAGTAGAGCTGTGACTCAAGTGATAGAGCACCAGCCTTGATTTAAAGGCTAAGGAACCACCAGTATCCAGGCTCTGAATTCAAATCCCAGTACCAAGTAACAATAACAACAACAAAATTGTTCCACTCAGTTCCTCCACTCAAGCCACGGGTTTTGAAGGAGTAACAAAGAGGATAGAAGGAATCTGGGAAAGTTTGGGGTCAAATCTTCCTGTGTCACCAGAAAGATGGAGTTCCTTCCCCCCAGAAAATAAGCAGTGCAGACAGGAAACATCTAGATTCTGGACAATAATACAGCTAACTACAGGGACGTGGTGCTCCATTGTAGATCACAGAATGAAAATGCTGAAGAGGCACCGCTGAGCCCATAGCAGGGCTGGGTGGCTAGTAGGCAAGGGCCAGCGGGGAGGGGAGGCGGCTCACCCACACTGCACTGCGTCCTCCTGATGGGCAAAGGCTCCACAAGTCTCCCACTGTCCCACCCCACATCTTCCCAAAGAGCACAGTAGCTTCCTAAGAAACACACTTATTGGCTTCTTCCTCAATACGGAGTTCCTCTCCTAATGGAAACTGAAGTATAACAGAATGGACAGTAGGGTCAGACTAAGTGAAACAACAGGTTTATTCCATCCATCCCCAACAAAGGTGTTAAGATCCATCCCCTCAACAGCTTTAAGACTTACGCTGGTTCACTGATATCACCACCACAGCCCCTAGAGTACAAAGGAGAAACAGAGAATACACATATCCCATGGACTTTCCCCAGGATTCTGAATGCACAGCACTAGATGGTATTAGAGTGAATCCACTAGGCCTCAATTATTCCATTTCTAAAATGGAAACATCATCCAGGCATCAATGTTTCATGCCTATAATCCTAACTACTGAAGAGGCTGAGATCTAAAGATAAAGGTTCAAAGACAGTCCTTGAGACTTATCTCCAAAGAACCAACAACAACAAAAAAAGTGTAGCTGTGGAGTGGTAGAAAACTAGCCTTGAGTAACAAAAGCTAAGGGACAGTTTCCAGGCCCTAAGTTCAATTCCCACTATGAGCACAGAAAATTTATAAATAAATAAATCAAAGCAAAATATAATAGGAACAGTATATTTAATAAGATGTTGTGAGGAGGAATTGCTTCAAGCACCTAATAACTGTGCCAAGAACGTAAGACACACTCTGTAAGTGCTAAGTACTTTCTTCACGGGTTCTCGGCAAACAGTACCCCACACTTTCCCTGAGAGTCTCCCTGGCCAGAGCCAGTAGGGGACACTATAACAACCTGTCTAAGAAAAACCATTGGAATCTGTACTAATGTTCCATCTTAGGTCCTGGAGGCAGCCTCATAATTCACGACAGTTGTTGGCTCACTAAAGCAATGCCAACCTTGTCTGGGAGAATTCTGTCTGCTTCATGGTCATGAGCAACTTTTCCAGACACCGATTCTGAGCCTTCCCTGGTCGTGGGACCTCAGCCAGATTATAGGAAATGCAATGTAGTAGTTGTCATGAGGGATGAAAAGGAACATCAAGAATGAACTGCCTTATCAGCACTCTGAGATCCAGGACGCACGCGATCCGCTGAATCAGTTACCATGGGGGACGGAGGTGACCAGGGCTGCCCTAGTTGGTGATCACCCAAGGCCTGCCCTGCTGGATTCAGCCCAGCCCAGCTCCATCAGGAATGTGGCTTTGCTCTATTTTCTGGTGAACTGGAGGGAAACTACAAATAAGAAAGTAATTGCTGAAAATTCTGTTCCCAGGAAGGAATGTCCCCTGTTTTCTTTAGATTCTTCAGGACCAGCTATCCAAGTCCAGAATCTGAGGCAGGTCTGGCCTTGAGATTCTAGAAATCCTAAGGTGACTCCTTCAGAGCACTGGATACGCTAGTGCCCATACTCACAGCATGCCTGACAGTCCCCACATAGAGCTGTGGTTCAGGGCTGTAGATTAGAGATAGATGGGTAGGCCTCAGGAATCCCAAGTACCTATAGTTGATATTTGAGTCCACTTATTAAGGAACTATCTCACCCTAAATTTTCTTGTCGATGGCTCATTTACTAAATGAGAGATTTAGTAGATAGGTAGCCCACCATGTAGATGTCTTTAACAGAAGACAATCTTGATTTGTTAAGCAATGAGCATTCATTTACTTATAAATGTTAACTTACTGATACTCAGCTCAGATAAACATTATAATTCAAATTCATAAATGAGAAAATTCAGGGCTCAGATCAAGCAATGCCAACCAGGATGCAGATCCAGGCTGGTTCTCTGGCAACTCTGCTCCACCTCACAAGGAGACTTACTCACAGGAAAGTTGTAAACTTTCAAATGATCTCTTGTCTGACAATGTCAAGAGCACTGGACCTTGAGATCACGGAGGCCCCTAGATTGGCCTGGGTAGTGGAGGAAGTGATGCTGTGTCTCAAAAGTTGAGTCACTTGGTTAAGGTCATGCAGGGGCAAATGAGAACCAGTGTTAGAAGCCAAATCCATCTGACTCCAAAGCCTGTCCCTGGCCAGCAGTGCCACGCCCTCAGCTTTCCCAGCTCTGGTTCCTGGAAGCTATAAAGTAGTGAAAAAGAAATCAAAGATACCTTTCACCTTTATCAGTTTGCCCACTAAGCCCCTTATTAGGCCTTATTAGATGACTAAATCCTCTCAGATTTAACCTTTCACATTGAGTGGAGGGATAAGTGTGAGGTGACAGTTACACAGTCACTGACAAAGGTGACATGCTCTAGAGTACAACCTGGAACCTCATAAAGCTGGCTGATACAGGATCCTCTCCCCCTCCAACCAGAGAAGGGGCATCATCTGCCTACTAAGACAAGGGAAGAAAAAGAAAGAAAGAAAAAAGCCTTAAATAAATGATACCGGCCCCTGCTGAGAGGAAATGACGATGGGAGGACCAGGTGCCACCCTGACACATTGCCCAACAGTGAAGACCCAAGTAGCTTCCACTGGCCGCTGACTCATTTCCCAACCTAGACTACCAGCCAACCTACTTTCACTTCCGCTCTTATCAGACACCTAAAGTCAGTAAGATAAAGGAGTTCCAAGTTCTCCTGGGAACTCACCTGTCACCAGCAAAGACCAAGAACCAAAATGGCATCTGACTAACCACCTGTACATGAAAGTCAATGTAACCTTAGCTGATATGACTTCAGTCATTTATTTGGATAAGTCTTCACTCCAACACTGTTGAAGCTGAGACGTGTGCTGGGGGGAAGAGGGGTGCAATAAAGGAAGGGTACAGGAAAGGAGGGAGGGAGGGGTGAGCAGATACAGTCATTATATTCAATGTACACTATGTAAAACATAAACTTCGTAACTTGAGGGTAGGAATGAGATGGGGAAAGATGGAGGAGATAGATGAAAAATATGACATTGAACAAGATGCACTGTACTCATAACCTGACTTCTGGACTTGAAACCCCTTTGTGCATATATTAGTAAGTGGGCCTGATACCTTCCTGATGCCAGTGTTTTTCTGAAGGATAAGGGACAGGGAACAGT